CGTTTGAGAATGTACCAAGTCCACTTTCTGATGCTGGGAATCATGACAACTACTATGGCAGACGACTTCACATAAGGTGCGTTCAACTAAGTCGCTCGGACAACAAGACCAAGTTGCGACAACGCGGTCAACCCACTTCTTTAAATCGAAAAGAGACTGCGACCTTACCGGAGGCCACACCATCTTGGTCTTCATATCTTTGATACACTCAATAGTTGTTTAGACGCCAGAAACTGGATGGAATCGGTGCGATTCAAGCAGCTATGGCTCTTTACTTCAGCATCAAGCCCTGATTTGCCTGTCTGATGCCACTTGTACGCCCGAGTCTAGCGATGTCAGTAGTCGAATCGTGTCCCAGCTCAAAGATGGCAGATGTTTTCTGCATCGTCCTCGTCACACGTTTACTGGATTCGAGGAGGCAAAGCAGGTTTGCACCTTTTGCGATAATGCAGTGCTTACAAGTCATTGCAAGTAAGCCAGCCGTTTTCTGGCCAGCCCCGGACGCGATAAAACAGGTCGGTATGCCAGTTGCACCAAGTTCCAGACGAGACCTTGTCTCTTGATGGTGTCGAGGCCAAAGGGAGACCGTGCGTGTGTGTGTGGTTGTTTGTATTTGAGGGAGAGAGAGAGAGAGGGAGAGGAAAAGAGGGGACCAGTTAATGGTGCATCGTGGAGGAAAATTTCCCAATAATTCAGGTCCACCAGCGGCAGGCCGACTTGGTAGATCAAAAAGGAGAAATTATTGACTTAAAGGGCGGAGAGGAGTCGGGGCATATGTACATCGTTGGGGGTGTGAGGTAGTGGTTGCGATGGCGTAGGCAGGACGGGGCTACACTCGGTCGCCAGGTCGGCAGTCCAGAGTCGACGAGTGGCCGAAACGGAGAACAGCTTTTCGTGTCCCCAACTGCCGGCGGGTTCAGCGGACTCCAAGTTGGCCAGCTGGAGTGACCTGCCTCCTCCACAACTCATTGCCCTCGTCACCCTCTTTTTTATGCTCTACTCCCCTTACCTGCATTCCACTCCACTCCACTCCACTTCACTCCATTTCACTCCACTCTGCCAGTTTCGCCTTGACTACTGGCACCAGGCTGCTTTGGAGTCGCGGTAACTAAGCCCGGTGAACCCGGTGATGAGACGTTGGTGTGTGTGTGTGTGTGTGTGTGAGGGGCGGGGGTGAGTCCGCATGTGATTAGGGCAAACATTTTGGGGTATGGGCGAAAACATGACCACCGGCCCTCCGAAAGTGTGTTTGTTGTCAGCCGATTTGGATGCGCAAAAGGGTCAGGTGGCCGAGGTGACACACCATATGACCCGACATATCAGATTGGTCTTGTCGAGGCTGGTCTTTTATCAGCCTGGCCGGCGAAAGGAGGAAGCTGGCAGAGGGGCGTGTATGAAAAGACCGCGTCAAGTGTGGCAGAAATCCGGCCAAGGGTATGTGTGCAGATGTGTCGGTGTGTCGGTGGGAGGAGTGGAAGAGGAGGCGGAGCGTCGGGGGCGGGAAATCAGCATTTTCACAATTTGAGGCTAAGACAGACGCGGACGGACGCCGAAACGGATGCGAAGTGCGGTCGAGCCGTTTGATGAGCCCGCCCTCG